GGGGCAGTTGGGGCAATTGCCATACCAATAAAAATTTGTATGGCAATTGAAACTCGTTCAAGACTAGCAAAAAAAAACGTCTTAAACAGAGCATTTTTTTGCAAGCAAAAACTTTTCCAGACTTATTGCCATACCAAACTTTCGGGTCTCAGCCCGCCACTGGTTGTCACCACACTTACAGCATCAATAGCAATAGCAACGTAATAAACATTTTTAACAGCTTCTTCGGGTGAAGTAGCAAAATGGGTTCCTTCATGACAGAATATTCCTTTCGATCTAGCAACATTTTCTGGCTCTGCTCGAGACAAACAATTGGCTAACGATGGACCATAAACAATAACCGTGTGCCCTTCATGAATTAATCGTTGAATAACACGCTTTCCGATTGCACCACATCCAATAACAGGCGATAATATATTTTCTCTCTTATCATTACTGAAATTTAACTTTTCAATGATGTATTGTGCAACAAATGGTGCATTGACACTTGGTGTTCGATAATGACTGATATTTAAAATGTTAGCCGTTTCTATATCGATACCAGACATACTTGAACCACGACGAATAATACTTAGTAACGCTTCATTGTATTTCGCCATTTTTGAAGTGTTTCCGCACTAACAATATTGGAACCAACAATAATTGTGTCTGGTTTATACATGACTATTTCATCCTGTAAGCCAATTGGATCATAACTTAAATTTGGTAAATATTTTATCTTATTTGAACTATCAGTTAAAATAGTTGGATATCGATAACCGATTAACACTTTCATCTTTGCTTATTTATTAAAAAAAGTTTGTCTTGTCAGAAAAATACACGCTCATGAACATCTTTCTAAAAAGTATATAGGATTTATTTTGTTTCTTTAAATTTGTTGTCCCATTCCCTTTGACTTCTTTTAATTGTATATTGAATCAATATATGGTGAGTGCATGAATTAAAACAACAAAAAATATTACTTTCTAACTGACTAAGTCATTGAAAGAGAACTAGTTTCGTTTATATATTCTGTAGTGTGCACGGCTTGTGTAAGTATTATTCTTTTTTAAAGTAGAAAGGACAGAACAAGTAAGATTCAGCATGTAGCTATAACATAAATATTGCTTTACTTTTTTCACAAAGAGAATATCAAGATATTCAAAACAGGTTTTGGAAAAAAAGAGCATAAAAAATAATACACGTCGCAAAAGGGAAAAAAACGCAGCTTTTTGCCGACATAACCAGACACACAAATAGAACAAAAAATACATATTTGAATATAAAAAAGTGCTAACAAGTCAGTAGACGATGCAGGCCATTTTCATAACGTGGAAGATAGGAAGCTGTTACTAGAGGCTCACATAGTAAGAGGTTCCAGTCAGGTGATGTTTTCCAAAAAAATGAGAATTTCACTGTTCCATATACCGTAAATGGGCTGGTATCCGAGCGAGAATGATATTCCCTTCGAGATAGACATCTTGATATTAGGGGGGTAGTTAATTGAGCTTAATAACCATAAATTGATAATTATACGATGGTAACTGACCGACCTAAACACAGTGGGTAATTTTGGCTAGAGCAGGCGGACATGTGCTATTAATTCAGTAATAACTTTTGATAGAAAAGAACTAGAGAGCTCCGATTTTCGCCATTCGAAAGATGAGACTATGTTTTTATAATCAAAACTATTTTCAGAAGAGTTTTGTAAAGCAGGTTTACTAGGAGATCTTTGGAAAACTAGGCCGTCTGTAAAAATTTTCTAACAAGATTGTTTTGCTTTCTTTTCATGGATTGATAGATAGCCAGGGGTGTTCTCTTCAAAACGGGAGTAAAGCGAGGCCTTGATTCTTCGCGGTTCCGCCGTTGTGTCGGATTTCCTACAAGTCCCAGGACTGGCACCCGGTGACTATTGGTAGCCTTGAAGACAGATGGAGTATGGATAATCAATGGTGCTGAGTCTCGTGGGAATATTTGTTTTTAGAAAAAATTTTAAAAATCTACCGAAAAGCCAGTTTTACGAAAACTAGGGGTTTTAGGCTGTTTTCGTCTAATATTACGAAATTCACTATGCTCTCAAAACACACCAGAACAAGCTCAAAACCTCAGGATATGATTAATATTGTCCGCTAAACGTGGGTATAAGATCGAAAAACAATCGAAAAGCATATTTTTGTTAATAGGTTTTCCAGAAATCCGTTTGGAAAACCTTAGGGCTTTGTAAAATTTCGTTCAAGATCTCCTACGAATAGGATATAGCATAGCTTAAATGCCCTGCATTCTGAAGTTTTGAACTCGTTCTGATATTTTTTGAGTGAAGATTAGTGAATTTTTTAATATTAGGTGAAAACAGCCGGAAAACGCAAATTTTCATAAAACTCCCTCTGTGGTGGATTTTTAGAACTTTTTCTAAAAATAAATATTGCCACAAGTCTCAGCATGATCGATTGTCTATAGTCCATCCGTTTTCAAGACTACCAATAGCCACTGAGTGCCAGGCCTGAAACTCCCAAGACCATGGCTTTTGAAAAATCGCCAGCACAATGCAGACTCACTGGCGCTAATTGGCGATATGGCCAATGGTAGAGCACACATAGAGGAATATTTAGCGTAAGGTTGAGCTCGATTGGACTTTAGCTGTTTGTAGCGTTTACAAAATACAGAATGATGCATTTTTGATACTCAATTTTAGCCTAGTAGATTCTTTTTTTCCGTAGCAATTTGAGTTCAATCGAAGTGATCTTTTCATTAAAATGGAGCTCATAGATGAATAATTCTTTTCAGATAGTTTTAATGTTTTTTAGATGTGTGTTTCTAACGTTCAACTTAATTTCTGAAAATGCTATTTCAGGACAAGATAGATCAAAGATAGAAGTAATTATTCCAATGTTTAAATCTTGAAAAATAGCACTTTCGTTTTATGTCTGCTTGGTTGTCCACTGTGCTAAAGTAACAATGTCTAATTCTTAGGTCAGGTAATCCTAAATCTTTAATCATTGACACACACCGCTATCGAATGACTTGCTCCGTCATCTTCGGTGTCTCCATCCTCTTTTGCGACAAAGCGAGTCGAGCCGCACGAGTATCTTACGCGTGGCATGTAGTCTGCCTCATTTGCTCACGGTCGAAGATGTGGATCGAATTGGTGTCGAATGGCGTATATATGCGAGTGAAGAGATTCCTGACGAGTGAGCCAAAGAGAAGACGAGCAACGCCGGTGATCCAGCCACGGCCACCAGGTATCATCCCATCGATGCCTACTGGCGTCGTGTGTTCACTGTCAAGTCGACAACAGGAGCATGCAAGTTCATCGTTTTGCCGAAACTGATCAAGTGTATGCTGGCCTTGTCACATGGCAATGCCGACGTCGAGCGTGGTTTTTCGGAAAATGCTCATCTCGTCACCGACGAACGGGCGTCATTGAGCGTAGTGTCTATCAGCGGATTGCGCGCCACAAAAGATGCCGTCAAATTTCACGGCGATGGAGCAGTACAGAATGTAAGAAAAATAACAGCGCAGGGAAAGGGACGATCGCTTTACTGAGTGACGGGCGTTCTACTAAAGAAAAGTGGGATCAGATGCCTGACATACTTTTAGAAGGAGACAAGATGACGACCAAAATAGAATAACAACAGTATCGATCGCCCTGATGAGTAAATCATGATGATAGACGAGGATACGAAAGACAGGACAGTACTCGCTATATTCGACGACAGGTGATCACAAGTCATAACTAACTCTTCATAGTAAAAATAATCCGATAAGAACTGATTAAGAGCATTTGTTTTCTGTTTGCTGCGACAGAAAAAGAAGATGTGAGTACTCACCATATTCGCAGTATAAAAGATATATTTTCATGATTTTTCGTTGTGCATAGGTGGCGATCACAAAAGCACTTTTGTCGAGCGTGAAGCAAGCGCACGAACGTTTTAAAATCGACAATGAGCGGCAGCAACAGATGCTCAAGGACAAGGAATTATCAGAGCAGGCATTGGCAGCGGCCAAGAATGATGAAGTTCTTCTCATCGAGAAGGAGTGCAAGCTGCTTGACGAACAAAAGGGCCTCAGAAAAGAACTAGAGTCGGCGACAAATATGCTCGACGAAGACAGTGAACAACTAACGGCTGCAATTGCCGAAAAGAACTTCAGTGAGGTGGAAACGGAGTAGCTGCGCATCAGTGATAGCGCTGCGAGGCCTGTCTAAGATCCGAAATACTCGGTAGCATCTCAGTAAACCGATGGGTCAACGTGGTTCATGTTTATAATGTTTATAAATTAGTCACCGTTATAAACATGAACGACGTTGACCTACCGGTTTCCTGGGAAACTACCGAGTATTTCGGATCTTAGACTACCGAGTAATTTCTACTCCTTCTAAAAATTGGTGGGCTTTCATCCAGCACTCAATGGGACATAATCGATTGTCATTGATTCCGGCACTTAATGATAAAAATAATGTTATCATCACAGATGCCGTTGGGAAAGTTGAAATATTGAGTTCACATTTTGCGAGCATATGTACATGGCGTGGTCCACAAATTGACTTATCTGTTGCTGATTCTTTAACGCAGACCAGTCATAAGCTGAGTTCTTTTACTGTTTCTTACTCTTCTGTTTGCTCGATTCTTGCTAAATTAGATTGCAGTCGTGCTGCTGCTCCTATCTTAACTAACCGTATGTTGAAGAACCTTGAACCATCGATTGCTCCAACTTTTGTTGACATTCTTCGACATTCGTTCTCATCAGCAGTTTTTCCTCAACAATGGAAAAGGGGACTTGTGAATCCGTTGTTTAAATCTGGAGATTCTCTTGATCCAAATAACTATCGCCCTATTACATTATTGCCAAGTTGTAAGCCTTGTTTTCTTGTCCGTTGGTCAGTGAACAAATGTTATATTGTGATTTCTTCTGAATTCACCTTTTAATATCCAAAGATGCATATAACTGATACACTCACACTTTATTATAAAAAAT